GTTATGTGGCGGTGCTACCCTGATCGGGTAGCGCGTGTAGCGTGCTCAACAGACATATGTAGCAGTGGGGTTGCAGCAGAGATTGGTCTGTTGAGCACTGATGGACATTGGTGTCGTGAAGCTGTGCCATTGTTTGACTGTCCACTCGGCACAAGCTATCGGGCGACCGTGGCGCAGAATAAACTGCTATTAGGCGATGGCCCTCTTATTGTTTTGTGAATGCAGAGCGTGGCTCGGCGTGTCGACGGTCTTGATGAAGGAACGTCGATTCGCGGCCCCGGCAATTACTTGTACATGCAAAACAGAATGTTGTCGGGAATACTAACAGCGGTGGGTATGAATGACAACAAATATGGAATATGGTTCGTCAGACAAACGCCGGATGTGTATGCCACACCTCAGCCTAAGTTAACTCCGCGTGGACCTAACCACTTTTTTTACCAACACGGTACCCTTTCTCGCCACCTTCTGCGTTATGCTCCCTGCTGGCCGTGCGTATTCAGGGACTCTCCTTCGTTCTTAAGAACGTGTCGGGTGGAGGAGCAGCAGCGGCCTCCAAGGGCAAGGACAACCGCAAGCCCCGTGACGAGGCCCGCATAGACGCCTGCTGGATGATGCTTCCATTCAGCGACGCAATGATCGGCTCAAACCAGACCCGCTACAACTCCGACGGCAACCAGAAAGGGTCTATTTCCAACAACATCTTCTGGCGAGCCGCGTCGCTCATCATCCACCCAAAAGTCAGCACGAACATCATCATCAGTGAGTGTCTCTCGAAAAACATATTTGGCGGAATGCTGTTAATACACCCCGGGGACCGCGCTGGCGGCGTGTCCACGAAATGGAATGAAATTCGGTGTCGGGAAGAGGAGGGGTGCAAAAATTGGGGGGCTATTGCTGATGCGTCCGCTATTCAGTGAGTGAGTGCGTGCCCGATCCTTTGACCGGTAGACTCCAGCTCGTTCCATCTAACAGGGACCAGATTGCCAATGTTGTCTTTCGAAACACTTCGGTGACGCCTGTGCTATCAAAAGCGAGCTTCTCGTAACCGTGTCTAGCGCATCGAGAGAATAGCGACGCATGAAAGTGAGGCATCATCCTGGAACCAAAGGAGTACTGATTTGATGTTGAGAGGAGGGAAAGAGAGACATGGAAGAACGAGGGGGCGGCATGTAAGAGGAGGCGGGGAGATCACGGCTGGGCATGACTGCTACCGTTTCCCTTTCCCCTACCCCCCCCCCCCCCCCCCCCCCCCTCCGAGCCCCCCCCTTTTCAAAAAAAAAAAAACCCCCCCCCCCTGGCCCGATTGCAAAAAAAAAAAAGGGGGGAACCTTGGGGAAAAAAAAGAAAAAAAAAAAAAAACCCCCCCCCTTTAAAAAAAAAATGTCCGTTTTTTCAAAAAGCCCTTCCCCTTTTCACCCCCAAAAAAAAAAAAAGGGGTTTTTTTCCGAAACCCAAAAACCCCTCTAAAAAAAAAAAAAAAAAAAAACCCAAGAGGGGGGGTTTTTTGAAAAGGCCCCACCCCCCCCCAAAAAAAAAATTTAAAAAAACCCACGGGTTGGAAATTTTCACCCAAAGGGGCCCCCCCCCCCCAACCCAAAAAAAAAAAAAAAAAAAAAACAAGGGCCAAAAAAGGTTTTTTTTTACACCTTCCAAAACCCCTTTTCCCCGAAAAAAGGGGGGGGGGGACCACCCCCAAAAAAAAAACCTTTGTAAAAAAACCCCCCCCCCCCACCCCAAAAACCCTTTGTTTTGGTGGGGTTTTTTGG